AGCCTTGGTGGACAAGAGAAGAGCAACTGACGTCATCTAAATGGACTTGTGCAAAGCCTTTGACTGTGTCCTGCATCATATTGTGGTCTCTAAATTGGAAAGATGTGGATTTGATGGATAGACCACTCAGTGGATAAGGAATTGGCTGGATAGTCACACTCAAAGAGTTTTGGTCAATGGTCTTGTTGCCCAAGACCAGTGATGAGTCGTGTTCCTCAGAGTTCAGTAGTCAGACTGGTGCTGTTTCATGGGTTTGTCAACGACATACACAGTGGGACTGAGAGCACCCTCACTGAGTTTGCTGACAACACCAAGCTGTGTGGTGTGGTTGATATGCTGGAGGGAAGGAGTGCCATCCAGAGGGACCCTGAAGGCTTGAGAGTTGGGCCCATGCCAACCTCATGAAGTTAAGGCCAAGGGCAAGGTCGTATACACGGGTCTGGGCAATTCCAAACACAGTTACAGGCTGGGTTGAGAATGGATTGAGCACAGCCCTGAGGAAAAGGACTTGAGGATGTGTTGGCTGATGAGAAGCTCAACATGAGCTGGCAGTGTGTGTTTGCTGCCCAGAAAACCAACCATATCTGGGGCTGCATCACAAGGAGCATGATGAGCAGAACAAGGGAGGTGATTCTACCCCTCTACTCCACTCCTGTGAGACCCCACCTGGAGTACTGTGTCCTGTTGCAGAGCCCCAAACACAAGAAGGTTGTGGAGCTGTTGGACCGAGTCCAGAGGAGGGCCACGAAGATGATCAGAGGCCTGGAGCCCCTCACCTATGAAGACAGGCTGAGCAAGTTGGAGTTCTTTAGCCTGGAGAAGAGAAGGCTCTGGAGAGACATAGTAGCCTTTCAGTACCTGAAGGGGCTACAGAAAAGTTGGGGACAGACTTTTTACAAGGGCATGTAGCAAGAGCACATGGAGTAATGGTTTTAAACTGGAAGAGGGGAGATTTAGGTTAGACATTAGGAGGGAATTGTTCACTACAAGGGTGGTGGACATTTCCACAGGTTGCCCAAAGGAGTTATGGGTGTCCCCCTCCCTGGAAATGTTCAAGGGCAGGTTGGATGGAGCTTTGAGCAACCTGGTCTAGTGGGAAGTGTCCTTGGCCATGGCAGGGTGGTTGGATCTGGATGATTTTTAAGGTCCCTTCCAACTCAAACCCTTCTATGATTCTGTGATGAGGATAGGAGCTTTGAAGTGTAGCACCTCTTTTAGAACATAAACCTAGCCATATGGCTTTGCATTTCTGTATCTACAAGTAGGAATCTCTGCTCTTATAGACTGTAAGTGGTGTTCCTTTTTCCAGAATTAGTAGAATGTCTGATGAAGAAGAGCGCTGTGCTTGCCAAGCATGTAGTAAAGGCAGTTGTAGATACATGAACATGAAAAAATCATAGCTGCCTGTAAAAGATTAATGAAATTATCTGTAATTAATATTTTTTTAAGTTAGCCATTAGCTATTGCGTCCTGAAATTTAGGGCCTAGAAGGTTAGATGTGAAAGAAGTTGACTTAAAAATAAAAATAATGCAGCCGTTGTTGTTTTATGTATGAAACCAAAAGAACTGCAACACAAACTATATGGTAGCATTATTTAGAAGTTTTTATGTGTAGATTTTGAAATCCTTGAAAAGCAAGCAAGCAGAAGAAACCCCAACAACTCCTTCTTAATGGTTGTGTGCTTGACATAACTTTATGCCAGACTATGTTAGATACAAAAGATTAACAACTTGCAGTGGAGACTGTCCTGAGTAAATTTTTTAGATGCAGATACATGAACACAAGTTCTCACTCTGCTCTGATTCAAACTTTTAGAAAGGAAAACCAGGGTTTTTTTTCTAAAGAACTGGCAGGTTTCACATAGCATAATGTTTGGCTACTCTGAAATTGTCTGAGAGGCTTGGGAACATTCATGTTTTCAACTTGCAGCACTGGCATTTCTGAGGACAGTAGGATGCCTAGGTGAGTTCAGTAACCACCAACTGAAGGCAATCCCCTTGAGGTAGTTCCCAGCCTCTCCTTTGGGTTTCTACTTATTCTTCCCTCATTAGATTGCCTTCAGAGAAGGAAATACTACCATAGAGCTCTCTGGCATCCGACATGCTAATTCCTGTAGACTTGCAATGCTTTGGCATCTATGGAATACACCCCATCACACAACTGTCTGTCTCTAAAGAGCTAAAATTTCGATTTTTTTCATCTGGGAAACCTTTATTCAATTCTGTAGGTTTGTTGTTGAGCTGCCTGTTTCATAATGGTACATCTGAGATTACAGCTATCGAAGACGAGTGTTAACCAGTTTGGCTGCTTTGGATACAGATCATGCAAGCACATCTGGACACTAGTATTAGCGGCACAACTACATTTCATTTAGATTATTTTATTTTAATTAATGTTGGCAATATTTTATGTGTGTGTGCAATGTTTAAATTTGCCAGACCTGAACATGGCCATAGAATGACCTGCCAGCATTTTTTCCAGTTGTCCTCTTGCAGTGCTGGAACAGTGTGAGCATGGACTTGGCTGGGTGAGGTGAGACTGACTCAGAGAGCTGCCTTCTGTTACTTTATTATTTTTTAAAAAGGTATTTTTTTTCTAAACATGAAGATACTTAATATTCAAATATCACTCTTCACACATCGCAAGATGTAAAATAAGAAAAAAAATTTGCCCCATTTCACAGATTTTTTAAATTCCCTCAAAATATTAATTTTAATGGAAACAAACAGAAGACATATTGAGTATGAAATCCAGTTTTGCCATCCATGTTTTCTGGAGGGGGGAGAAGGAGGGTAGTGAAATTGATTGCATGTCGAGCTGAACTTTAGAAACAGACAAGTTAACACAGTTAGTGAGAGAGAATTCTTGATTTCTACCTGAATTGTGTAGCTATTGTTAGATCTCAATGGCTTCATTGTTTTTTAGTTTATAGAAGCCAAAAAATTTATTGTAGCATGTTTTTCTGTGCCTTCTTTTCGCTATCAATAGTAACCAGCAGATTTATGATGCACTAAGTTAGACCTGCTGAGTGGGTTGCAGTTGGGATTCAGAATGCAGTTTTGTGGATTGATGGCAAAGTTTCAAACAGGGTCCCCTCTGCGTTACCGTGGGAGACCCTGTACTGAATTTTCAGACCATTTATGGGTTGCCTGAGGGAAGGCAAGAGCAGTCCTCATGTCAGTCTGTGGAAATGATATGCAGCATTACATTACCCTGAGAGGCAAGAAACAGTATGCTAAGGGAGCAATCATTAAGCTTGCACACCTGATAAGAGATCTGCCAGTCTTGAACTAGTCTTAAAATCAGCCCAAATAGTTCTTTCATGTTAAAAGAAATAGTTGTTTCCATGTGTCTTTTGAAGCATTAGCGTATGAAAAAAGCTCATGTATACTTAATGTAATGTTAGAGGGGTTTTTTTAAGTTGCATCATATCTGTTGGGTGATTTTTACCAACTCTGAATACTTGGTTTGACTTCTGGGGCAGTTCTGAGGGTTAAATAAGTCAACAGCCAACTTCATGAAAGTAAGGTCAGTTCAGCTCCTGTCTGCCCGGTGCCTTATCAAAGCTGTCGTGCAGCACGGCTGATGGCAGATTCTATTCTAAGTGAGAGACACTAATAAAACACAAAACGCAGCTCTTCTCTAACATTTTCTTGCTGTGTCAACTGCAGTCAACTGAAATTTTCTTTTCTTTCGTGGTTTTTCTCCTGTATTCCTAAAAGGTTATGTTTTACAATTTTAAAACAAACCAAAAAACCAAACCCAGATTCAGTCATATATAAAGGTTAAAGCAGTGGTAATAATAACTTGAGTAGCTTGTTACACTAAGTTTTGTTTCTTTGTAGTAAAAGTGCTTGCAAGTGTTTTGTGCTTCTTATATGTTGATTTATTTTTTTATTTTGTTTTTCCTCCTAGAGTACTAAAATGTTTAAGTTTTGGTGCCACTAGTATTTTATTTACCCCCCACCTCACTAGGTTCTCGAGAACTTTGAACACCTTTTGAAGATGTGAAAAGTAGTAACAATTGATTTTTCTTGTCTGATCTGTCTTTGGTGTCAGTAATGTGACATTTATTAACAGGGTTGGTTGAGAGCAGGATAGTATTTGGCACAAGCTGAGCTTTGATGACATCATTTCTTTAAGGCAGAAATTAGGGATTTGAATAGTATTTTAGAAAGGCAGTAACTAGTAGTAGGAAGATTAACTATTTCACACTAATTAAAAATTCATCAAAGTTTGGGTCAATGCTTGATTTGTTTCCCATGTCAAAGCTGTTCTGCCTGCAACTGGGAAGCTTGTTTTAGGATTTCTGCTCTGGAAAATCCTTCAACCAGGTTTTTAATAGATTGCTCAGAGTCATAACCAAGGCAGGAGCTTTCAGAGTAGGGGAGAGGTTTGCCAGGCTACTTTCCTTGTGGGATTGTAGGTTCTTTGGTGTGAAAACATCTGTTTAATCAGCAAAAAAATGTCTTCTGCTCTTAAGTGTGTTCTGTAGGTGAAATAGTATGGGGAACCTATCTTCACTAGTTTTTGCCAGTGCTCTTGGTGCTCCACAATGTATTTTTCACTTAAAATTAGCAATTCCAAAAGTCTAGCTAGCATGCTTTGGATCTTGAGTCTTGGCATAGGTGGTAAATTCAGTCAACCTTGAGGAAGACACATGCATTTCATGGAGAGAGGAAGTTCATGCATGTACTGTAGTACTCTGGTATTTTCTTTTTTTTCAGAGGAAGCTGCAGACTGTTATTTATTTACTCCTATTGTACTTATGCTGCTAGCTGGGTGGGTTTACCAGATTCAGTGCACACGCTGCTTGACAGAGCCAAGTTAGCCAGGTAGAATAAAAATAACCTGCCTACGCAAGTATGGTCTCTGCTTCCCTGAGCAGGGGTAGGGGTGGAGGGGGGTGGCAGCTGCTTCTGGGAGGAAGGGAGGCTTCCCTCCCTCTGGCTTTCTGGTGTCTGTATTCCCAGCCATCACAAATGTTTTCTTTTTGCAGATGACACGATTGGTGCTGCCTGGCATGCTGGAAAGGTGAGTCACACTAACACTATCCAGACAAAGTCATCATTATTTATAGGGGAGAATCCTTTCTTGAAAAATTCATTACTGTGACTAATCAGCCTAGTCTTCATGTTTTAATGGCAGAGTAATGCTGGGTGAGTCACACGGATGGTGCATGAATCATCAGACGGTGGAAGCCTTTTCCACTCGATTCCCTTTTTATTTTTCCGTCTCCTTTCTCCAGTGTTGTGGTGATTCCTTTTAGAACAGAATTAAAAAGCCAGTCTGACTCATCACAACTAACTCAACAACCCGCTATTCTGAGGGGGCGGTTACAGTTCCTGGGAATAACCTTCTTAAGGCTATTTCTCTAAGTCATTGTAAGTAAAATGGATGCAAAGAACATGTTCTCGTTATACAGTAGGAGGTACGTTGAGGAAAGTCTGTGATCATTTGAAAAAGCAGACTTGGAGACCAGCTCTTTCAGATCAGAGCTAACGTACACCAGTGTTCCTGTGGAAGATGTGTGGTGACTTCCTAGCTAGCTCCAGGTGAAAGGAAAAGGGGTACAGTTTCCATGTAGTTCCTCCAGGCAGTTTTTTAGCTGATGTTGACTGTTCCAGGCTGTTTGCTGTCCCTGTTGCTGTGCTAACCCTGGCTTGCTGGGGGTTGCCCTAGGTCAGATCTGGGCTGTTATGCTTGCGATACTGAGAAAGGCTGTGGAGAACCATGTGTGACAGTCACCATGGTATTGCCTCCAAGCAAGTATATATATGGGGAAAACCTCCAAACTTGACAAAGATTAAAAAAAATAAATTGTATTTCTCTCATCATCTCACTATCTGGGAGTCTTCACTGCAGATTTAGATTAATGTATTCAAGTGTTGCACAGATGCAGAGCAGATGTTTCACATCTAAAACAAAGCTGCTTCATGGGTACAAACTGTCAGATCTAGTGGCCAGGAGGAGTTTCAGTGTCTCACCATCAGGGTGAGGGCAAGCTTAGATTTTTATTTAACTGATCAAGAGTGAAGGAGTTTATTTCATGTAAAGGAACTTTAATTAGAAAAGAAGACTCAACACAGCTCTAGGGCATGGGTTTAATATTTCCCAATAAAGCTGGAGTAGAGGATGAGGATTAATAGCACAGTGATGGTAGCTACTCTGGGTTTGTAAGTAAAAAATTACTCCTATCTCATCTACTATTATTGATAGATAAAGAAGACCTGGCTTTTTTGATACCACTGCCCTCTGGTGATGCCAACATGACAGAACCATTATGCTTTCTAAGGAATTAATGTGGGTTTGTTACCTGTTTTTGTGACTTTGAAGCTCTAACAATTCATTGCCTCAATTTCTTCTTCACACCATGTCTAAGGTTCTTACCTTAGGAATGTCAAGGATAAATGTTAACGAAGAAGCTTGGAAAGAAAAGGTTAATAGAATCATAGAATAATGGCAAAAACAAACAAACAAACAACAAATATTGAACCTTTTCCTGTGTGTGAGCGGCCTTTGAATAATTGCTGCATTTGAACGAAGGCCTTTTTTTCCCAGGGAAAAAACATCTGAGAAAGTTTCCATTTTCTGTTTGGTTTTGTGGAGTGGGTTGGGTTTGCAGTGCAGAGAAGCAATGTCTGCAGCTGCCAGCTCATTCACAGCCATAGTTCACAGGCCATTAACACCAGTAAGAGTCTGTAACCATAGGAGGACATGGTTGTCCAGAACATCCAAGAGCATGGACAAATGGTTGCTGTACTTGGCTACTCCTTGGGCCAACCATAAATTTCTTGCATGGAACTGTGGGTTAGGAAAAAGGGCTCCAGGCTCTAAGAATAAAACTGAACTAGAAATCCCATCATTATTCCTTATGTGTTCAAGGAGGGAGAGCATGTTGAGTAGGTAGATGTGGCATAGCACTCTATAGCATTTGCAGCTATGGTGCGTAATTTAAGCATTCGGGTGTTGGTTTTATGGCAATATGTTGCAAGACAAATACAGAAACAGAGTAGACTTTACATGCTTTGCATCCAGGTCTGTAAGGAGAAAACACAACTGCATCTTGGGGTGTCTGTTACTACTTATTAACAATAGACACAGCAGCATTAGATGAATGCCACTTCTGGTAATGGCATTTGGATTCTCACCTGTGGCTCCTCTTCCACGCTCTGAACGCTTAAAGTGACAATTTATAATCTGCAGCTTCCTATATTGCACTTAAATGAGCAGTAAATTTACAAGTTACCATCTAAGGTGGGAGACTCCTAGGACTGAAAATCGAGGCTTGATGTCTTTGGGGACAAAGAGAAACAACAACAGAAATCAGTTGACTGTTTCTAGCCAAATATCCAACGATGGTATTTATTGCTAGGGAAGTAGCAAGTGCATGTAATTACATTACAGAAGAAGCTTGCTCTTTCCACTCGCTGTGCAGCTGGAGCAGGCACTGGTTGCCACAGCAACAGGGAGATGGCTAAATATAGCCTCCCTGGTGCTGGACCGCTTAAGGTAGAATGATGGGGAGGTGTGAGGGTGTGGGCCTGGCTCTCTTCATCTTACCTTTTTTTTAAATTAAGTGGACAGTTGAAGGAGGTGGAGCCAAAATTTCTTTTTGCTGCACTGGTGCTGATGGAGTTCTTCATATCCTTCTGTAAAAATGTTTCTGCTGCAATTCCTCTAAGAAGCAGAATTGTAATTGGAGTAATTGGAAGTGTTCCCCCTACGTGCTCACTTCTCTGCTTCCTTTTACCTGTAGGTTTTAAGGTATAAGTTTTTAAGGCTAGGACAGTTTTCTTTATAAAGAAAAAGTACAAACCACAAAACCCACAGTGGCATCAGCTGCTTCAAAAAGACCAATATATGGAGCTTCTGCAAGGGGCTGCTGTAATTTTGTTGTGTTTCCAAGAGGGTTTTCTTCACTAGGTCAGACCACTGATTCACTGCACCTAGATGGTGGCCACTCTACTGCTGGGAAGCTGCACTCTAGCCAGATGCTGCAAAGCCTGTGCTTTACTGCCTGAATGCCAAGCTCTCTTCTAAACTTTTGGTTTGCTTTATAGACATGACATTCATGTTTATCCTTATAAATGCTTACCCCTTTTTGAATCCTGTTAAGCTTTTGTCCTCAATTTGTGTCAAGTAGTCCTGTGGTTCGAATATGGGAAGAAGCTTCCTTTTATTGGATCAGAATTTCAGTCTTTCATTTGAATAAATGTCTTCTTTCTTTTGTATTCTAAAAGGATGAATCAAGATACTGATCTTCATAATTCATTAATCTGTACACTCTTTTCTTGGCTGCTCTTAATAGTCTCTTAAATAGCTAAATTGATCCAATCTTCTCACCTCATCAGTGTATCAGAGTCGTTTGGGTTTTTTCTCCTTTTCCCTTTGTTTAAATCATCAGTTTCTTAATATTTCTGTCCTGTATTTGGAGGGGTAAAGGTATTCCGTAGACTGTAATACAAGATTTCAGTGGTATTGGAGCTGTCCCTGCCATTCCCACCATCCTATTCTTTCACTGGTTTTGATGACTGCTGCACAAAAAAGAACTCCCTGTGGACTTTGTTAATTGTTTTCAGGGAGCAGATAGATAGTTGATTTAGAGTCCTGCAAGGTCTGTGATTGATTCACATTATTTTCTTTAGTATGCATTGTTGGTTTTCTGAATATAGATTTTTCATCTGCCATTCTGTAGTTTGTTCATGTAGCAGTCTGAGCTCTCAGAGTTCCTTACAGTATTCTCCAATCTGGTAATATCTTAAAAACTGCATGAATACCTATTTCATTGCTAATTCCCATTTGAGCTCCTGAATAAATATCACAGATACCACCTGTCTTGATATGAACAACTTCTGGCATCCACTGTTAGCCTTTTGCTGTTGTGACTATTCATTATTAATTTGTGGTCTTCTTTCCTCAATATTACATATTTTGATCTGTATTACTCTGTTATTTCACCAACCAAGCCTTGCAGATAACTCCTGAAAAACACAATGACCTTTGGCAAAGATGTTTGCTATCCTGAATGACTGAAATTATTATTTTCTGTCACATTAGGCATCTCATTTCAAGAGCTAAATCAATCACAGGTTTAATTCACACTTACATCATGACAGAAGCTGTGTTGGTTTGAATCTGTTGTCACAGTTTTCAAATATATATTGTTTTAAATTTTAAAAGTCACTTAGGCTCAGAATTTTGTTTTCAACATGGCTACTTAAATGACTGTGGCAGCAGTGGCACAGAGTATGTGTGGATGAACAAATGTGAGAAACTCATCTGTGAACCTGCAGGAGTGGAGCGGTGTGATGCCTACCTGTGTGAATGTTCTCACCTGGCACTGAACATGGCTTGCTTAGCACATTTGGATAAACTGGTTTGAATTACTACAGAGTTACAAGAAGCCATGAAAGATGCATCTTTCACTGTGTTGGACTTTCTGGAAGCACTTTCTAACAGTGTACTTGCCCTAATTTGCCTGAAGTTTTAAAAACTAATTATTCTTTCTACTGAGCGCTAAATAGTATTTCTGTTTCTGTAGGTAAAACTTGTCATAGAAGGTGACATGCCATTTCCCATTCTATTAGCTGGGAAATCCAGGAATCTTACTTTCTGTCCTACCTGCATGTGGTTTATAAGTGCTTGGCAGAGCAGGTGATAGGTAATTTCAGACTCGTGCATTTACCTAAATATTTCTGTGGAAAACTTTTAAGTATTCCACTGAAGAACAACTCTTACTTTCTGTAGTCATCCACTGAGTATCTTCTATACTATATGAGAACACTTCTGTATTTCAGCAGTAGATTCAGATACTTCCTGTCTTAAAGATCCGTCATATAGTACCACTGAAAAGATGAAAGGGATTATCAAAGTGTAAACTATACAATAAACTTGTGTTGCCATTTCTGCCACCTTAGCCCAAAATAGAGAAGTTGTCTTTTGGACTTGTGCCAACTTTGCTCAATAAATTTGGTGTAGTTTGGCTCAGTATGTGTGTGTACATATATATGTGCAGCTTGATTATTTTCCTGTAATGATCTTGGAGTTGTTCATTATTTATACCAGCTGCTTGGATACTTATAGTGTGCTTAAAGTCATATGTGTAGATTTCAATTTAGGAATTGGTTGCTGTTTTTAAGCAGATCTTTGCCTCAGTTGCATCCTCAAGGTGTTTTCCTTAGGCTTGCAGTAATTTTCTGGAACATGAGATATTTCCTTTATTCATGATGATGCATCTTTGTTGCCTTTCAGATCAAAAGGGGTAATCCTGAATATTGCCTCAGCTGCGGGGATGTATCCAACTCCACTGCTAACTCTTTACTCTGCAACCAAGGTAAGTGTTCTTTTCCACACTGAAGTAAAGTGTCAAACATAAGCCAACTACAGGAAAAAATGTTTTGGTGTCCATCTAGTGGTGCTTTCATGAACTAAAAGTACTTAGTTTATAACAAATTTTTCCAATAGTGGAAGCTGGAAAGGCTTTGCTTGGTTTAGTGGCATGGAAACAACTATTTTATATTTTTCATCATGCATTCTACTATTAAATGGAAATGGATGATAGTCTACCAAGCCAGGTTAGTGTGATGTTGAGAAAGGACATTGATTAAGTTTAACCACTTTCTTATTTTGACTTTTAAACTTTTTTCTTCAATTTTACCAAAGGTGTGTATCTTACATATATATGTATATATCTTTATTTAAATTGGACTGTTCTGATGCTTGCTGAAAGTAAATATTTGTCCTCCTTTTATATTAGTTGTTTTAAGTTTAGCACTTCAGGAAAGAGAAAGGATAGAGTTGCAGGGCCTCAGCATTACCAAAAAGTAAACTTTCCTTGATCTGCTGACTATATGTCCTGCTAATGTAGCCCAGTATGTCATTCAATGTTCTTGCAGTGAGTACATGATTGTCTTCCTGGCAGCAACCATAAATTGTTTTTTTGCAGCAGCACTGCTACTCAACCAAAATTAAGGCATGACTTTATCCCACTCTGTATGCAGAACTGTGCGCTTCACTCTATGCCAATCAAGAAGTCTCATGGTGTTTAATCAAGTTTATCAGGGTCTCTCTGTACAGAAGCTCTGTCCTGTCAGCTGCTCCATCTAATGTTCTCATCTACAAATTTGCTGAGGATGTGCTCTGTATCATCATCTAAGTTGCTGATGGGAGATGCTGAAAAATACAGGCCTCTGTATTGATTTGTAGGGTTCTCTGCTTGTTGTCAGCCAGATATCAAGCTACTGATCATGGTGCCTTTGAGCCTGGTGGTCCAGCCACTTTTCAGTCTGGCCAGCAGTTTGTCCTTTCAGCATGTATCTGCTCGACTTCCAAAAGAGAATGTTGCAGAAGATGGTATCAAAAACTTTACTGATGTAAAAATCTATCTATACACACACACAAACACACACAGAGTTTATAAAAATCTGTTTCCCTCATCTACAAAACTAGTCCACTTCATTGTAGAAAGCAATGTAGTTGGTCAGACATGATTTGCTGTCGGTAAATCTCTGTTGTGTGTTTCTTGTGTATCTTCTTGTCCTTTATGTGCTTGGAAATTAATTCCATGATCTATCCATAAACTGAGTTAAAGCTGATGGGGACCATTCTTGCCTTTTCAAGGTGGGATATGTTATCCCTTCTCCAGTTGTCAGAGGCGTCTCCCAGTTTCCATAGATTTTCAGATATCATGGCAGCAGGTTTGTGAACCTACAGACTAGTTCTTGCAGCTCTCTTGAGTTAATCCATCGCGGCTCCATGGATTTGAATACTTAGAGCTTCTTTGAGTAGTTCCTAAATTGTTGCTGCCACTTCCTTTGTCTTTTTGTTAAACAAAGCTGGTGCATGCAGAGGCATGTGAGCCTCTGTGAGGCTTTGGCTGTGCCAAGGGCAAGAGAACTATTGAATACTTTTCCCTTTTTCTGTCCTTTTTCTCTAGGTTGTCTTCCTCACCCATCAACACACTCCCACTTCTCTGAAATTCCTCTTGAAACCAGGGTACCTGTGGGATCCTTTACTGCTACCCTTAATGTCCTTTGCTAGTCTTTTCCTATCTTAGATTTTATTCCTAAGTACCTAATAATGTTTTATGTTTCCCTTTTGTTGCTTCTTTTTTCTGTCTCTCATTTTTAATTTGTCAAGAAGCTCCCACTTAGCCAAACACTCCTTTTTACTGAAATTACTTGCTCATTTTTAATTTGTCAAGAAGCTCTCACTTAGCCAAACACTCCTTTTTACTGAAATTTCCTGTCTAGTTCCACAGTAGGCTGGTTTATTTTACCAATTCATAAGTTACTACTCTAGATCTACATTTCATGCTAAATTTGTCTGCTCTGATTTCTCTTTGTGTCACTCCTATTTTTAAATTTTTTTTCAGAAGGGGTATTGAGGGGGACTTCTGAAGTGTTCACCTAAGAGGTCACTGCTGTAAAGACAGAATATGGATACACAGTATAGATCTGAAGTATATGTGATAAAACCAAATGCAAGAGTTGTTTACACTGGTACTAAAGCAGTATGGCACTACAGGTTTTTTTCAGGTGCACCTGGTAATAACCTGAAATATTTTAAGGATTTCAGAGTCTAAGCAGAACCTCAACAAGATGAAGAAACCTGCAGTAGTGTCATTCATGTTAGAACAGGTGTACGTTTCCTTGAGACTCTCAGTAACGTACCTGTATTTCCAGAAGGAATTGATGCACACTGATTTATTCATACTAAAGGAGGGGATATTTGAGTTTAAAAATCATGAAAGCCTGAATTAGTTTTAGCTGATAAAATTTGCTCTTGAAATAGCTGCTTCCTGAGAACATAGTTGTTTGTTTTACTATGAAAAGTCACTTCTGTTGTGGCAGTGTCTTCAGCTTTAGGGAATGATTTGAGCTTCTGATTTTAGTAATAATATGCCTTACACTGCTGTGGTTGGTCTTTTTATCCATCTCAACTATTTCCTCCCTTGCCCTTAAGAAACTCAGTTACAGGGTAAGTAATCTGCTCATCTCAGCACTGCTCATCTTCTACCACAGCAAGACTAATAAGCACAAAAGTGACTCCCCTAATGTAGCCATAGAAAGATTATATCTGCAATCTCTAGGGGGTTTTTATCTCATCTATACAGAGGGACTTTAAAGCACAGTACCCTTAAAGTCTAAGTCAATGGATTTTGCTAATTATCAGGAACAGATGCAGTCCAACTCTAACCTTCCTGTGGAGAAATCTCTGTTTTACAACGATACACTTTTAAAGGAGTCAATCTTATATTTGACAGACTTGCCTATCTACCTACATTATTCTGATGAAAAGTGAATCTTTTTTTTCCCAGCCACATTCTTAGTATTTGGGTTTGCTACTGGGTATCCAAGGAGTAGTTGTTTTCTTAATGTAGTGTTTGCCTGTTTATTCAAGGGATGCTTAATTAGACAATATTCTTCAGGCTGTTTAAAGTTAGAGGCCCCACCTCATCTTAAAATAAATTCTTGGAGAAGAAAAACTCCAAGGTTTGAATGCTGGAAGTTGCTTTTTTTGGAAAGCAGCTCTGTGGAAAAAGATCTACGAGTCCTGGTGAACAAGAGTGACCATGAGCCTTCAATGTGCCCTTGTGGCCATGAAGGCCATTGGCATCCTGGGGTGCATAAAGAAGAGTGTGACCAGCAGGTCAAAGGAGGTTCTCCTCCCCCTCTACTCTACCCTGGTGAGGCTGCATCTGGAGTATTGTGTCCAGTTCTGGGCTCCCCAGTTAAAGAAGGACAGGGAACTGCTGGAGAAGGTACTGCAAAAGGCTATGAAGATGATGAGGGAACTGGAGCATTCCTCATATGAGGAAGGGCTGAGGGTCTTGGGTCTTTTTAGTTTGGAGAAGGGAAGACTGAGGGGGGGACCTTACCATGCTTATAAATATTTAAAGATTGACTGTCAGGGGGATGGGGCCAGTCTTTTTTCAGAAGTGCCCAGTGACAGGACAAGAGGTAATAGGCACAAACTTGAACATAAGAAGTTCTGTCTAAACACGAGGAGGAACTTCTTTACTTTGAGGATTGCAGAGTACTGGAACAGGCTGCCCTAAGAGGTTGCAGAGGCTCCATCTCTGGAGACACTCAAAACCCACTGGATGCCACCCTGTGCAGCCTGCTTTAGGTGAACCTGCTGTGGCAGGAGAGTTGGACTAGATGATCTCCAGAGGTCCCTTCTAACCCCTACCATTCTGTGATTCTCATGTGAAATGAACACTCTCTTTGTGACTGGTAGAAATGACAATCTCCTAATACTGTCTCTCCATATGTGGAGCAGTAACTGATTTCAGGATTCTGCTGTATAGAAACAGTTAGAAATTTAAATTATCAAAGCCCTTTCATTAACACAATATTGTTTTTAGTAGATTATTATATACTCTGGGCAGTTATGCCCTGAACTATTTGCATGTCTATGCAAGTGCCTTGTTGTTGCAACAGCATGACTAGGTCACATGAATCAGTCCTGCTAGGCCTGATTTTCAGAGACTTGTTGAATACTGGATTTAATTAAGAACTTGGAGGAAAGGGAGAAGAAAATAACAGCTAAACAGAAGATAATCTTTTTTGGTTTAATGAGCCTCCTTCTAGCTTGTGTGTATAACTTGAAGAATAAAAGGTCCTATCTGCGACACAGGAAAATCTCGTTTACTTTCAGATCTTGTGTGTGCTCAGAAGAGTGTCTATAGAAATAGCCCAGCAGCATGGGAGTGTTTCTTTTGCATCTTGTATAGGCTGCATGCAGTAGGATGACCTTAACAGGAAAAACACTGGGCACTGCAAGCTTTAAGCACTGCTTTCAGTGAGGGCTTCTGTTCATCCCATGGTGACATCGTCAGCAAAGGAAGACTGTGAAGCAGGTGCAACACTAGAGCTTTGCTGTTGGTTTTGAAACTTGTCTGAAGTAACTGCTTCTTAAATACTAAAATAAATTTTTCTAGCATTTATTTTAGAATCAAGTAGGGATAAGATAGTTTAGTTCCTTCAGTTGAAGGTAATCCATTCATCTGACTTTGCTGTATTATTTCTCTAAAACAAAAAACTAGCAGAACCTGATATTTTGTCTCTCTGGACTGCAGGAGGGAAAAGTGGGAAGGTGGTATGGAAGAACCTGGAGGGGGGGAGTCTGTGCTGGTTTGAACTGCTGAGTAGCCTTGGGTTAAGACAGTGATTGTGGAGGCAGCTGTATCAGATAAGATATCTTGAAGGCAGGTACTAGCATCCACCTTTTAAGCCCTTAAACTTTCTTGCAACTCTTAGTTGCTTATATCTAAAATTTCTAGAAGTCTGGGAGAGAATCTGTGGTAGTGGACTTCAGGACTATGAAGAATCACTGTAGTGTGACATTTCTTGAAATTATAAAGGCACAAGACAGAGTATTTCAACACTAACCATGCACAAGAGAAGAACCTACCTAAACCACTCTTAAAAAAAAAAAAGTCTAAGGATATGACATAAATAATGAATAATGTGAGCACACAAACTCTTACTTTCCTTTTTAAACTCTGCTTTATGTAACTAATCTAGTTCCTTTTCCTTCTAAGTTAGGGTTTTCTTTGTTGAGATTGAGCCTCACTTCTGTAAAAAGTGCTTTGTAAGCATAGGGTTTCTATTCAGATGGCATTCCTCTAATATGCAAAGTTTCTTTGACAACCTAAGGCTTTTCAGTTTGAAAACAGGAACTCTAAATAGTAATTCAAATATATTTACAAAAATGTGCGAACTACTGTCTCCATTTTAACATGTAACATGCTGCATGTTTTTCCTGTAGGCTTTTGTGGATTTCTTCTCCCAAGGCCTCCACGCAGAATACAAGAATAAGGGTGTCATTGTGCAGGTGAGCAGTTTGTTTCATGTAAGTGTGGTTACCACAGCAACGTTGGTGTCTTGGTAACAAAAGAGAATCAGCATATTCTCTTATTCATGACTATGTGACACAGCTTAAGGGTTTCTTCTGATCACATTGTTGCTGTTCTTAAGTTAGTCTGAAATTGTGTCTTGAAGCAACAAAAGCCATGGGTTTGTGGGTTTTTTGTTTTGTTTTTTTTGGTTTTGTGGTGGTTTTTTTTCTTAATTTGGTTTGGGTTTTTAGCCAGTGGTGGTAATTGAACCTCTTAAGTATAAAATATTCCATAAAATTGTGTGCAGCTCTGTAGAATACATCTTTGTACAACAAAATTACTGGAATGCACTATTGGAGGGCATTTCTACAGAGATTCAATGGGCAGCTGCTCAAAAGACAAGAACAGTAGCAATCTATTCCCTGCAGTGTCAGGGAAACAACTGCTCATGTAAGCATAGTAGGAAGAACAAACATCAACCTCAAAGACCCTTTGTATGTGAGGGACTGATTTTAATTATTTTAGTTCTGGGTTTTCATGTTACTAATGAGACTTGCTGCCCCCCTCCCCAGCATTTCTTCACCTGCCATGTTTTTAATTATTTTTGATGGGGCATAAAAGCAAACAGAGCCTGTCTGTCACAGATTTATGTGATTTTGCTTTAATATCACTTTTCACATACTCTTAGTGTTTGCTTCCAAAATGTAGCTGGAATTTCTAGCTTTGGTCACAAACAGTGAGTTTTTTATTACTTATTGCACCTGTTGCATACTTAGCAAAACAAAAGTTTATCACCAAGAAGTGTCCTGGAGTTTAGTATCCAGATGTTTGGTCCTAGATGTTTAGTATAATATCCTGTCCCAGTTCCCAAGGGAGGTTTGTGTTAAGAAAAAGACTCCTGGGTGAGCTATTCTCGTGTAGTCACTGATGACCTAATGGGAACCTCATTTAAACCTAGACTTAATCCTTTAACTAACCATCTTAAAGGATTCTGTTTATTTTGGCAGTGGAAAGGAAGTTAGCAGAGGTGGTGCCTGAGAGCATTCTAACTACTGTTGTTATAGACCTTATCAAGGACAGACCAGATTACACTAGTTTTCCACTGGTAACAGATGATAACTTGATGTAGAGCTCCCAAAGCACAATTTGTTCTCAGAGTACTTGATACTATACTCTGCCCTAGCACCAGCTAGAACAGTGTGCAGCAATGAAGGATGCATAAAAAGGTAGCAATCTGAACAGGTACTTGTTCAGCATACAGGGTGGTTTGTGTGTTCTCTCAGTGCTTCAACTGGATTAAAATGGAGCAACTTTTCATGTTCTGTCTCCTTGTTACTTTCTCTTCTCACAGGGCTTTCCAAGCCTTTCTTTGCCTTCAGCCCCAAGCTGTCCAGCAATGAGTCAATTTTTACCACACTGCAAGTTTGTTACACCTTTCTTTTCACTTTTACCCTTCTATATTACTTCTGTCCTCCAGTGTAATTTGAGTTGTATTGCTTGCAGATTTAGCTTCATTATCAGAGGGCTGTTTTGATCTGTTTCATCTGCATGTAATGTGGCCCTCTCATAATCTGTGGTCACAGTCTCCATATGAGACTGAAAGAATTGATAAGAGTATGTATCTTTTTTACATCAATAATAAAAAGTCTTCTGTAGGTTTTCTTTCCTGCT